GGGGGTGGAGTTGCTGTACCGGTACCAAAGACCAAGCAACGCGAGGCGCACACAATACACCAGCGCAAACTTTGTTGTAGCATCCTTGTAAGGCCTGTTTGTGGCCGCTGGCTGGGGGGAAATTGAAAGGCGAGGCATTGACTCACTGACAGTGGCACTTGCCAGCGACACACTGAGAATGGGATGGGGGAGGGGGGTGAGCAATTGGGAGTAGGGGTAGGGAGGTGAGTGGCGGTAGGGAGGTGAGTGGGGGTAGGGAGGTGAGTAGAGGTAGGGAGGTGATGCCCAGCACGCGAGATGCTCCTGTCTGTGAGGCAGTGTCCTGTGTTGGAGACTACACTGTGTAGGCCCTACATGACCTACTAAAGCCTGCTGTGTCCAATAGGCTACTTGGCGGGTATGTGGACTTGATGAAGAACTAATGTGTTGACCGTTAGCGTGGCTTCCCCCCATTTATGATTGTGGACTTCGCCAGGTACCCAGGAAGCATGTCGATAAAGCAGAGTGGGCCTTTAAAAAAAGTCTCAATAAGAGGAATTGTTAGGTGAAGATATTGAAGGAAAAACTTCGTAATTGGAAAATATGTGGATATGTCAAAATGTCCATACATCGGCAGTAGAAATAAGTGGATTATACAGTACATAGGGTCTACATAGGCCCTAAAACAAATAAACAGACGTACAAACATACACACAACAGACCTGTAATTATGGATGAGTGAACACCAATTCTTTTCCCAGGATTGAAGCACAAGGTGAGTTTATTGAGGGCCCGCGGGGCACAATTCCTCGAGAGAAGCTCCTCTCGTGTTAGAGCAACAAAACTCAGCTCCGTGATCTTTGGCCTGTTGCCAGGACTCGGGAGCCCAGTAGTCTCCGTGTCAAAGAAAACAAAGCTCCGAATGGCTGCTTCCTTTTTCTCCATTGCCATTTGGACGAAATCAAACTGAAGAAAGAGAAGAACAATCCATCAGTAAATCACTTTACATCTCTGTCGCAAATTACCGGTTCTAAATATTTCATTGTGACTTGTATTGTTAAACTTTCCTACATTTTTCCTAATAATTTAAATTGATGTTTTGAGATTAAGTTTTATATTTTCTTGGCAATAATTCATTTAATGGCCGTATCATGCCATATCATTTGTGATCTGCAGCAAAAAACTCTCATATGAATTGACCCGTTTCACGATCAGATCTAAAGCATTTTTCAACCAGGGGGTTTCTTTAGGTATTGCACACAAATTATTTTTTTTACAATTCAGTATTTTTCGCTTTTGTCAGTCTAGATTCCATCATTATTATTAAGTACGGCTAGACAAGCATTCTAGCCGTCATTAAGTACAATTCAGTATTTTTTTGCTTTTTGTCAGTCTAGCCATCTTTATTCAGTAGCCTACAACTAGCCGGTAACCTGTCATTCCATCACATCGTCACACTCCAATTATGTGGGACGAAATGACTTCGCTTATGTAACTCAATAGAATGACCAAACACAAAATGAGAGTAGACATCTGCTTTCCTCTTGAAAAAAAAAAAGGATGGTGATCTGAAGATATAGCCTCATATTGTATGGATTGAATTATCTTATTTAACGTATTCATACAAGGTATCTGATCCCATACAATCGGCGGATTCCAAGTAGTGTCCTTTTAGAAATTTTGATTTATAATAATATTACTGCATTTATTATTTTAATATTATTTCATTATTTTACTCAAATCAATTATATTGTTGGTATTATTGTTTTTGATAATGATGTTATGACCGTTTATCTTCTTCTTCTTCTTCTTCTTCTTTTCCTTCTTCTTCTCATTATCAATATTTGTATTGTGATAATCAATAGCATTATTTCTTTCTTTCTTTCTTTCTTTCTTTCTTTCTTATTTAATTGATGGGGGTTTTGTTTTGTTTTGTTTGCTTGTTTTTTCCCGTAATTATCATGAATACCTGCCTTAATCCACGTGTTATCGATAAAAATAGACGGTAACATAAATGATGACACTACAAGGGGGGGGGGGGGGGATGATGAGAAATGGTGGGGGGAGGGGGGGGCAATTACAGCGAGTTATAGGTGATGTCCAGATTGAGAACCTTTAGATATGGGGTACATAGAAGCAAAAACAATACATTGGCAAAAAGATATTATTAATCCGCATACAGGAAAAAGAGGCTAAAACAGCACCTGGACATGGATGGCTGGTGCCTCTATAAATAAATCATTGATGGTCAAGGTCAATAAAACACGTACAATATTTCTCCAAAATAGAGTCTAGTTAGCTGTTCGGGGACTGCCCAGTTAGTAATAGGCCCAGTTAGTCATAGGACAAACTACAGTTAGTCACAGGACAAACTACAGTTAGTCACAGAACAAACTACAGTTAGTCACAGGCCCAGTTAGTCACAGGAAAAACTACAGTAAGTCACAGGCCCAGTTAGTCACAGGACAAAGTACAGTTAGTCACAGGACAAACTACAGTTAGTCACAGGCCCAGTTAGTCACAAGACAAACTACAGTTAGTCACAGGCCCAGTTAGTCACAAGACAAACTACAGTTAGTCACAGGCCCACTATGAATTGAATTTCATTTTTCAATTGTTTTTAACGAAAGAATATTCATTGTTGAAATTTTAGAGTAATTTAATTTTGCTTTTATTTGCTTACAAAAAGTAAGAAATATTGAACAACACAAACTGTCAAATTGACATTTTAGAGGGACTTTAGGGCCAGTGACTAGTGTGACTAACTGGGCCTGTGACTAACTGGCATGCCTACAGCTGTACGGCTAGCCTCTTCCTTTACCAAAACTACGACCCTGTGATCCTCAAAAGAAGTGAATAGACTGTCTGCTGGAGGCAGGGTGAGAATGTAAACATATAATTTTAAAAAATATATATCTATAGGAGCAAGATCTAGATTCTAGATCTAGATCTATATATCTAAATATATCGATGCCCCCATGATCAGACCTCGTAAGTGCCAGAGAGATCATTTTCCAGGAGAAGGAAAAATTGTCAAACTTCTTCAATTTCGCATAATAAAACCACTCAAAACAATGTAACTAAATGAGGGTTAGTTACTTTTAAAAAAATAAACATTGATTTTCTTATGTTATGACGCTTACGAGCAATGATTATATTACCGTGGTTGAGATCAGACCTCGTAATTCGTAAGCGATGACTATTGCCGTTTACGAGGTTTGATCACGGTGAAATGTTGGTAAAGTGCATACTCGTAAGCTACAATATTTTCGTACGACAAAAGAACCGACTTGAGTAGATGGTGGTCAGGACACCTTTGTGAGACCAGGGAGGTTAGGGTTTGATTCCCACCGGGTTACAATTAAAACATTATCATGTGCAATCTCACGGCTACCGCACCATGCACTGGATACAAGAGAATTGCCAGGACTGGTTGCCCTTTGCCAGAATAACGAGGCTGGACGATGAGTGTAAATTGTCTGACACTTCATGTGCATGTTCAATAATGCATTTTCTTATTTGCTCATTTTACATATACTTCTTAAAGCATCTGGAGTTATTTGTCAGCAATGTCAAACGAAAGAATAAAGATCATGCACATGGGAGAACTTTGGCACCAGACAAAGATCTCCAAAGTCACACACACACACACACACACACACACACACACACACACACACACACACACACACACACACACATTTCTATTTTGGTAACAGCAACGGTCTGAATAGATAAATCACTGTTTTACAGTTGGCTTCAGTTTGAAGATAGTCAATGATTCATAACGCAAACTGGCCGACAATTCACCCTCCCCTTTATGTCAAACGTAGCATCTCACATTCATTGTCACCAAGTTATCTATTGTAAAGTTGTGCTTGTAGACAAGGCGCCAAGAGAACAGACTGAAGATCCATGGCGATTACACAGATCTCTACCGTTGTTGGCTGCAGCCAGTTTCTTATCGTTGTCCTTTTCGGCCCGAGCTCTTCTTCATTGGAACGATTCCAAATCTCATCACCGATTTTTCTGCCCGTATCGCTCACACACAGGTCGCACTGGCGCGTTAACAGACATATTTTGCTCATGGAAAATGCCCCTAAATGTCGAGATGGCCAAATGCAGTTTTTGTTTTTTTCCGTTGACAAAGCTCAACATACTTCTGTGAAGTTCGTATACTATAGAAGATTGGCTCAAAATACAACTTTCCTGTTTTGTTTTCGACAATAATGAGAACTTACTTTGGACAGTTTTGCAAAGAAATCTTCAATAAGAAATGTTTTTGCGCAGATGCTTTCTTGTAGTGAGGGTTGTCTCTAGCGGCAGTGTTTGGGCAACGCTCTGTACTGGCAGTTTCATTGGAGACAGAAGTGTCTCGATCCACAACAATGCTCCTAATAATACACCAATCACCAACAGCTGTTGTCCTGAGGAACATGCTTCAATTGCAAACAGAGTTTCTGGCCTTCTTTTTCCAAAAGATATTCAACATCTGTGCATGTCTACCCATGCCCAGGATTCTCTTCCGTTTGGGAGTTTAATGTACGCCGCTTTTCCTTCTCAGTGCAGGGGCCAGATAGAATTGAGAACTTTCTGTCTGTTACATTCGGAAAGTTCTTTGCACTTCAACCCAGCTCTCTTGCATTCACATGACCTTTTCTTTTCTCATACGGGTTTGTTTTTATCATTTCAGACATATATATTATATATATTATATGCCTGACCTTGCTGGCATAAATCTGTTCGTTTAAAAAAAGTTTTGCTTCCGTTCTGCAGGAACGTTCTACTATTGTAATGTTTGTTTTTAAAGTCAGACTGTCCTCAAGATCTGGTTTAGGCGACATATACTGTGGGGAACCAGGCTTAGAGTGCAACGTTACTTCCACAATGGCTGGCATATGAGCAGACAGATCAGGGGAATCTGACCAGAAAGGTGATACAGGGTCGACCTCGAGTAAGACGAGGTGACTGAACATATATTGATTTGATCAGTGGGATTTCAGAACTAATGCAGGCTCGGCAATGGCAATGGGTGGTGAGTGACATATATTATAGGGGGATCACATTGGGGAAACAGACAAAGCAGATGATTCAGGATTGACCGTAAGGGGTACAGATGGGTGTGGTGAAGCAGATGTCAGAAGTGAGGCAGATTTGACAAAATAATAATATAATAGATAATAAATAGCATTGTATAGCGCATATCCCCGCTCAACAACAGGCTCTATGCGCTTTACACTATATTATTACCCCAGCAGACCATAGAACACTCCGAAACATTCTCAGCTTTCCGTGAAGCATACAGTGCAAGCAGCTGATTAAGCGCTCAAACACTAACAAACTGACAAGATCTTTGTCTGTCTATAGCCGGGTACCCATTCCCACCTGGGTGAAGTGAGGAAAATTCATTTAAAGTGCCTTTCCCAAGGACACAACGTCGGGTCCGTGATGGGATTCAAACCCACGACCTTACAGTTGCGAGTCCAAAAGCCTAACCACTAGGCCACCGACGCCACAGAAGATGAAGATTCGTCGATTATGACTGTGATACAAAACGTGTCGGAACTGGAAAACATAGTGAATCAGGTACAAAAGGTCGATACGCGTTACTTTGACCACTTGATCCTAAGTGTCGATGACCTGTCTCGAATCAGCGTGCTGAGCTGTAGTCAAAACTTGTGTAAGCGGAACGAAAGCGCTTACGGGTTCTGATCACAACCGCGTTTGGGGAGGGGCGGACTTGCGAGTTTAGTTTACTAACGATAAAGGAAGAGGCTAGCCGTACTTAATGACGGCTAGACAGGCAGTCTAGCCGTACTTAAGTACGGCTAGACTCGCAGTCTAGCCGTACTTATTCTTAATATGATGGCTAGACTGACCATTTACAAAAAATAGGCCTACTGAATTGTAAATATATACATTTTTAGTGTGCAGTACCTAAAGTATTTGTATTTGAGACGAAACCAGGTGCCTTAATGACAGTGCATGTTAACTCCTGTTTTCTAATGTAGGGCCTAAGATAAGTACGGCTAGACTGGCAGTCTAGCCGTACTTAAGCACGGGTAGACAGCCAGGCTAGCCGTACTTAATATTGATGGCTGAATTGTAAATGAAATTTTTAGTTTGCAATGCCTAAAGTATTTGTATTTCAGACAAAACCAAAGGTGCCTTACTGACTTGCATGTATTTGAATCTGAATAATTACTAGATCTAGATCTAATGAGGCCTGTGTACTTAACAGGTTTGAGTCGATAGGGCCAAACATAATAATAATAATAATAATAATAATAATAATATATAACATTTATATAGCGCATTTCCAAAAAAAGTAGCTCAATGCGCTTTACATTGGAATACCCATTTTCCAAAAACCTTTCTTACTACTTCCTTTCTTCTCAAGCAATATACATTAATGCACAAACACACACACACACACACACGCACACACGCACACACACACAGACTATTTTCATCCAGACATAGGAACAGAACAAATATAATGAAAGATAACGTTAACAGCTTATGAAGGATAGGCCTGTAGGATCAGAAAATGTTTAAGATGTCTTTTGAAGCTATCAAGTGTTCTTATTTGTCTTAGTTTCATGGGTAATCTGTTCCACATAAATGAACCAAGATATGAGAAAGATCTCTCTCCATATGATTTGTATGATTTTACAGGTGTCACAAGTAGGGTGTTATCGTTCGATGATCTTAGGTTTCTCCCTGGTTTATATATATACTGATAAGTTCTTGTAGATAAAAAGGAGCAGTTTTATTTACACATTTGAAACACATGACGCAGATTTTAAATATTATTCGTTCTTTTACAGGGAGCCAATGCAGTTCTTTTAATAATGGAGTGACATGGTCTCGTTTTTTAGATCTTGTTATCAGTCTAGCGGCATTGTTTTGAATTACTTGTAAACGATTCAAATATTTGTTGTTCAGACCTGCTAGGAGTGAGTTACAATAGTCTAATCTAGATAGGATAAGAGATGTTACCAGTGTTTTTGTGGTCTCTTCGTTTAAGTACTTTCGAACTAGGCCTATCCTTCTCAGCTGAAAATGAAGGGATTTGGACAGAGATCCTACAAACGAGCCCATTGATAAGTGGTGGTCAATATATACACCGAGATTCCTGACAACTTCTTTACTAGATGTCATATGCCCATATAAATCAAAGTTGACACTTTCCAGATCTTTATTTAATTGTGGCTTTTTTAAATAAAAAGGATGTCTGTCTTTTCTTCGTTTAGTTTCAATTTGTTTACTGTCATCCACTTTTTAATTTCATAAAAACATTGTTTAGTGATGGAAATCATGTTTGGTAGATCTTGAATGGTGCCATTAACATACATTTGGGAATCATCGGCATAAAAATGATAATTCAATCCATGATTTTGTAAAATGCTTGCTAAGGGCTGTGTATATAGTGTAAAGAGCACTGGTCCAAGAACGGACCCCTGTGGAACTCCATAATCGAGCCTGACCTGCTTTGAAAAGCTATTTTTAATTTGCACTGACTGAACTCTTTCTAGTAAATATGACTTAAACCATGAAAGCACAGTACCCGATAAGCCAAATGAGCGCTCAAGTCTTGTGAGTAGAATAGCATGGTCAATTGTGTCAAAAGCTGCGGACAGATCCAAAAGAGTTAAAAGACAGATGTTTTTGCTATCAATGGAATCCAATAAATCAGACATTACTTTCAAAAGCGCAGTTTCGGTACTATGATGAGTTTTATAGGCAGATTGGTAAATTTCCTCAAGACCATTTTTTCTCATGTGAGACAAAACTTGACTTAAAACAATCTTCTCTAGAATTTTTGAGACAAATTGCAAATTCGAAACTGGTCGATAGTATTTTAATTCATTTTTATTAAGCCCGGGTTTTTTCAATAAAGGTTTTACAATAGCTTGTTTGAAAGTATTAGGTACTGTGCCAGTGGCAAGTGACATATTCACTATCTGAGTAATGTGAGGTAACATAGATCTAAGTAGAGCCAGTCTAGCCGTACTACGATAAAAGACACTTTTATACAGTTTTTTCATTAAACCTTCTGTTGACATGTGCACCGTAAGCCGTAGAATGTGATGGTGTGAAAAAGTCAATTTCGCACAAATTGTCACTTACGAGGTCTGATCATGGGGGCATTGATAGATCTAGCCGATCTAGATCTAGTGTAGATCTAGACTCTAGATCTATAGATCTAGATCTAAATATCTTCATCTTCCAGGCTGTTATTTCATTTATTATGATTTATTAAGGAAGAGGCTAGCCGTACTTAATGACAGCTAGACTGACAGTCTAGCCGTACTTAAGTACGGCTAGACTCGCAGTCTAGCTGTACTTATTCTTAATATGATGGCTAGACTCACCATTTTAAAAAAATAGGCCTACTGAATTGTAAATATACATTTTTAGTGTGCAGTACCTAAAGTATTTGTATTTGAGACGAAACCAGGTGCCTTAATGACATTGCATGTATTTTAAACCTCCTGTTTTCTAATGTTAATAGGGCCTAAGATAAGTACGTACTTAAGTACGGGTAGACAGCCAGGCTAGCCCTACTTAAAAGGACGGCTAGACTGTCAGTCTAGCCGTATTTCATATTGATGGCTGAATTGTAAATGAAATTTTTAGTTTGCAATGCCTAAAGTATTTGTATTTCAGACAAAAACAAAAAAGGTGCCTTACTGACTTGCATGTATTTGAACCTGAATAATTACTAGATCTAGATCTAGATCTAATGAGACCTGTGTACTTAACAGGCTTGAGTCGATAGGGCCAAACCTATCTAGATCTAAGTACGGCTAGACTAGCAGTCTAGATATCTCTAGATTATCTAGATCTAGATCTAGCCGTACTTAAGTTTAAGTACAGCTAGCCACTTCGATTTATTATTAAGTGTACACGGCTAGCCACTTCGATTTATTAATGGGTGTACGTACCGCAGCCTTAAACGTTCTACCAGCCACAGAGCCAATAATATTACCTTCAGTTTCAGCCTCACAGCAGAGACCCCAGTCTTGGTTTTCCGTACAGTTGAATTCTTTTTCCTTTACTTTCACTTTCACTTTCACTTTATTTAAATTCGTTCTTAATCTTGTCGAGCCTTTGTTGAATCCAAAACTTTTGCCAACTTGAAACCAACGACTAACAAAATGCGTAGCAGTCCAGCTGGCGAGTACAACTCATTAGTCGAGTGTAAAGAAAGAATTTCCGACTAAAGGCTCACACAACAAAAGGGAAACCCAAACTAAAAACTCATTGGGAGCTTTCTCCTCATCGCAACCACAATGAGGAACGAACAGACGACAGACGCCATAGCCAGAAAAAGAATCGACCGACTGACCGACGTGAATGTTTTGAGAACGAGTACTTTTTTTAGTATCGATCACAAAATATTTCACCCTGCGACTACTTGTCCTCATAAAGTCATTCCTACTATGTAGTCGGACTCTGAGTATTCGTTTTGTCTAGACCAGACTTTGTATTCGGTCTGGGCTAAAAACGAGTAAGTGCCTAGTTATTTATAGGAACTGGGAAAATTCTCTTGGCTTGGACCACTTAAAGTACGGATTGGATTTCCATACAACGTCTAGCTGGATTATAGCATTCAAGAAAATTTACTACAAACGATATAAATCTTTCTTGAATGAATAGTACAACAATATGATAAAAAAATTGATTAAATCAATACCAATTTTGTTTTGAAAGTCAAGTCTATGCCAAACCATTAATTTTAAAACAGATCTATCAACAAACAAAATGGCAGCGCCCTGGATGCGACCCTCCTTCACGATGAGATTACACCGACTAAATTATATTTACAACTGTCATTGTCTAAGTTTTTGGGGCAATGTGTGTCCTATGTCAACACATTTGAGCCATTTGGTAGCTATGTTTTTTTTTAAATTCATGATTCATGCAACTTTTTTTTTTTATCTAAATGTCCTGTTGTTGTTATTGACATTATAATCTAATCTTATTGTTGGTTCTTGTTGCGCCTCGAGAGACCAAACTCAAACAAATTACAAATCTAGATTTTTATATCTAGATCTAAATCTAGATCTAGATTTAGATCTTATACCTAATGTAGATCTACATTTTCTTCTTCTTCTTCTTCTTCTTCTTCTTCTTCTTCTTCTCCTTCTTCTTCTTCTCCTTCTTCTTCTTTTCTTCTTCTTTTCTTCTTCTTCTTCTTCTTCTTCTTCTTCTTCTTCTTCTTCTTCTTCTTCTTCTATTCCTCCTCCTCCTCCTCCTCCTCCTCCTCCTCCTCCTCCAAAACTAATGACTAAATGAGTATATAGATCTATATTATATTGATAAATGCATTGTCGTCCTATGTGGTTGTCATTGTGTGACTGTTCAGGATCAAGTTGTTTGCCGTTTGCCTGTATTGCATGCTGCTCAAAATTGTGGAGCTTTGAATAAATTAAAAATTTGATAACTTTTATTCATGTAGCTAGATCTAGACTCTAGGTCTAGATTTTTAGATCTATTGTAGATTCAAATGGTAAATTTAATTATTTCTCTACATTTCTGTCAGACCAAATAATAAACTTGGAAAATCTACTGTCGAACACTTTGTAATTCTTCTCTGTGATATACGTATAAATAAAATGGGTGTATGTTATGATGACTCATGAATCCAAAGCTTGTTTTCCCATTGTTCTGTCATTGTTTTGTTTAAAATACAAGTTTAATATTGAATGATTTCTGACTACCACATCATGTATGTCAAATTTTAGATTTGCTTCAGCTACTTGTAAGACGAAACAAGTTCTTACTCAATATTTTGCCTTTGGTAATTCTGCTGTAAGCTGACAAAACGCCTTTTTAATTTTTAATTTGCAGCAGTTTCGAGACAAGAGTTGGGGTTTTTTTGTCAGCGTACCCATTAAAAAATAGCACTCTTCAGAAATTTGAATTCTAATTCATAGAAATTTAAAAAACTAGTTATTTTCACATTCATTTTTTCACTTAAGTAGGGTAACTGATCTGGCTTTTGATTTAGCAAAAAAAATATTTGGCACCAAGATGAAAAAAGACGTATTGTCAGCTTACGGCACACTGTTCTTTGCATTTTAGATCAAGAGGGAATTTCAGCAATCCAGACAACATTCTTCTAAAAATGGAGACCTAAAGATCCCCAAAAAAGGTGTGGCTTTTGATGTTGGTCTTTGTGCACAGTGGAAAAGGGGAAGGATAAATAGTACTTTGTTTCATGACATCATTTTCTGGAAAACAGACGCAAAGATGAAACTGAGCTTAAATTGTCCTTTGTTTGTGAATTTAACTTAAGACACAGTCTTATTCTCAAGTCTTTTCGCTGAAGGTTGTTAAACATTGATTTTGTTGCTCTCAATGTTTTCATGGTTAATGGAGTTCATCCTCTTATGGCACTTTGCTTGCCTGTATGCGTGATAGCTTTGATGGTAGAGATAGTGTTGTTGTGCCCTGTGTCAGGGGAAGTTTGGGAGAACTACGTCCACAAACCCACTCTTGATGTTCTTGTGCACCATGTTTCTCAGATATTTGTGTTACATATAGAAAGGCAATGCAATAATTAATATGTCTGATATTTCTGTTCCATGTAAAGGCAGGGCAATTTCAATGCTATTTTGGGTGCGGAACCGAGCTCTTTTTCTATGTCATGATGTTGGCTTGTAACGTCTAAGATGTTGCTATTTCTTAACTTGTTGGACATTTGGTTTGTATAGGTGTGTAATTTCATTTGGTTTAGTTATCTTTTTAGACATTTTTTCAGTGATCTCATAAACTTGTTCTTATACGTACTTTATGACTTCGATTTGGCCAATCAGACTGCAGTCAGCCCTTGGGCAAGACCCACGACCCCGCGCAGGTGGAGAGCGAGTGGTACCAGTGGTGGATACAGCAAGGTTACTTTTCTCCGCAGGTTTGTTGGGACGTTACTTTTTGTTCTGTATGTTTTGTTTGTTTTGTTCTGTATGATTTGTTCTGTATGTTTTGTTTTGTATGTTTTGTTTTGAATATTTTGTTCTGTATGTTCTGTATGTTTTGTTCTGTATGTTCTGTATGTTTTGTTCTATATGTTCTGTATGTTTTGTTCTGTTCTGTATGTTTTGTTCCATATATTCTGTATGTTTTGTTGCGTTACTCGCAGGCTGGAGGAGCGGAGAGTGCGCCTGTGTTCTCCCTTCTGCTGCCCCCGCCCAACGTGACCGGCCGGCTACACCTGGGGCATGCACTCACTGGGGCTGTGCAGGATGCCGTCGTCAGACGCCACCGGATGAACGGTGAGGGCCACATGTGTCGCTCTCTTACTGTTTTCTTCCTCGCAATCATTGTCGTCATAGTCTTCATCATTGTCGTCACTACCATCATGGTTATTTTATCAGAATGAATAATTATCTTCTGTAGTTGGCCTAGTAGGTACTTCTCACTCTGACCAAAGCCCAGGATTAGTGACTCAAATGTGAAGTCAGTCTCTTGAAACACACAGTCAGACAGCAAAGTTATCCTTCAACAATTCAGGGGGTGCTAAATTGGAAGTGTTGGAGAGTTACGCGAAGTTTGTGTCTGCCTCTACTCCTCAAGACAACAATTAGAACAGACATGCAGCTATTACCGAATGGCATCATGCAGAAGAGTTAACGCTCAGATACTACTGGATCGCTAACAACAACAACAACAACTGTACGATCGGTGGCATGAAATGTGCACTTGGTGTCCTTCAATCTCATCTAGATTGTCCTCTCTATGTTGTAGGCCTACAGCGGCCAGAGTGCCATTCCCACCTTGTCATGTCAGTCGTACAAAGGGCAGTTCTCTAGAGGGGAAGTACACAATACACAAATACCCACTGCTCCGACTGAGGATGTGAGAGGAAAATGTGTTCTTAAATACACCGGCTTCCCATACTGTTTATAGGAATCATTACTTTGTTGACAGATGAACAGAAAAGTGCAGATACCAATGATGGTTCGGCTTCCTCATTTTCTGGCAAATCCGTACAAGTGTGTGTAAAACTGTTCTCGTCAAAGCAAGTATGACAAACCGATTTTTGGAGTCATAATAGAATTTTTGCTTTTGTGACAACTTTTAACTCATTTTAAAACCATTTCCTCCTTGTTTTAGAATGCCGACTTTTTAATGTGTTATTAGATCTGCACCCAATTTTATCTGTCCAACCGAATGACTTTGATCTTTGTGGCATCTTTTGAAGGGTCCTCCCTTATCATCATTCCCCC